AATTTAAAAAAAAACAATTTAACAAAGGTGGATCTAAATTTAATCATTCTTATACAGTGTCTTTTTAAATATAAGTGAAGAAGCTAATGCCAAAATCAAAACCCAAATCAAAAACTAAAGTTTTGTAACACCCTTAAATTTACAAACCGATTTTTCGCAAATTATTAAAACCATTATCATGGTAGAAAATTTTTGACCATGATACATCCAAGACAATATACCACAGGTCTTAAAATATCTCAAAAAGAATTAGAACCATGAGGGACAGACATGATCCTCATAGCATGTTATTCAAATCAGGTCATAAATTAAAAGGGACAGACATAATCCTCTTGAACATATAAATGCATTTAATAAAAAGGATTAGAGTTTACATGCTCCACAAAGAAGATATGTCCTAAGTTGGCACAAGATACATTGTATAATCCAAAATAAGAGGCAACGTAAAAGATGGTGTCTCATACACCATAATTACACCACTGGTGCTTTCTCGGCCGAACTCGCTCCTGTAAAAATATTAACCACGGGGAATGAGACTTAAAAGTTCCAGTAACCAAAAATTAATATGTAATGATGCATGCGATTGTAACTAATCATGCGATTGCTAAATGGGCACACAAAATATTTAATCGAACAATATTTTCAAACAAACCGAACAAGTATTTAATTTGCATGACTACACCTTATATTCTCCTTTCGCCATGCTCGGACGCCAAATCACCCGGCCAAAGGTGAGTTGGACCAAGCGACACGCCACTCATTGGGTCCAATGAGGGCTTACCACGTGGTAATAATTAATCGAATAGAAATTCCCATTAACACCATACATTAAAATACCCTGACAAGTCATGCATCATTCAAATATCCAAACAGGAATATATCCGAACAATAATATCTCATCATGATAAACAAAAATAAATTTTTAACCCACTTGGCAATAATTTCAAACAAGTATATACAGTATTTATTTTCAATAATTCATAATTTTTCCAAACAACAAAACAACACATAACCATTCACAAACACACTTATCACAACACATTAATAATGGTTACCTTGTGTCTTGAATAACAAGTTTCCCTTCACAACTCCTTTTTCACCACTATCTTTGTCAATATAATCTACAAAATTATTTCACAATACTATATATTAATTTTACATTAAAATAAATAACTCTAATTTAAAGAATTAGAAAGTCTTAGATCTATAATCCATATTAATACTAATTTAAAATTTATGCCTCATTTAACTTCCCAATTTTTTTTCCTAAAATTCTTGTACCCTAATAAACTATTTTTTTTATCCTCAAATCACTTCTAGTATCACAATTTCATCCTTCTACATTCTAAAAATTCGTCCAAAAATAAATTAAAAATTTTAAAATTATTCTAAAACCTCAAATCACTTTTCTATAACCTCAAAAATACCTATTCATACTTAAATAAATATTTAATAATCAGAGATTTATCCCTACATCTCAGATTCCACATAAATTCAACCATATAGATCTAGATTTTAACTCAAAAATTCTTAAACATGAGTTTTAACCTCAAAAAAATATTCTATAATATTTATTATATCCCTAAGAGTTTTAACCTATATTTTTAATCCATCATATTATCAGATTAACTATCCTATAGAAAAATCCTAATCAAAATATTTACTCTATCCTAAAAAAAATCATATCACTAGAAAGCTAATAATATTTAGAAATAACTATAAAATTAATTTTTTAATTAAATAAATTTTTAAATGCTAATCTAAACAGGAAAGTTAGAACATACCTGAAGAAAAAGAAAATAATCCCCCATTGCGAGAAAACACCGAGCAACGTGAGAGGAAGAGAGAAAAATAATATAAAAATGGGATTGTGAGTCCCAAAATTATATTAAAAAAAAACTATAGGTTTGAACTTAATTATTCAAACCTTTGGGCCAAAAGTTGCAATTTTTTCTAAATTGCATCTTAGCCTTTCATGCTTTCTAATGCACACACCCCCTCCTTTTTATACAGGCACCTCTTCTCTTCCCTCATCTAACCAATGTGGGACTTAGAAACAATAACATTCCACCCTCCTTTTTTTTGTTCCTTCTATCTTCTTTTTTTTTAACACACACATAAAAAAATTATTTATGTATTATATCTTAACTAAATATTGCTTATGTGGTTTTAAATTTAATTTTTAAATTCATAATTAAATACCTAATCATAATATTATTTCTAAATAACCTCAAATAATATAAATTCCTATTATTATCATTTTTTTTTCTCAAAACCTAAATTCCACAATTTTTTATTATATAAAAAATCAGGATGTTACAAGTTTCATACCCATTATACAATATTACAAGTGCTGATTCACAAGTGTTGTGCTCTTAAAGAAATGTTATATCTCTCTCCTTGTGATCCTCTCTGGAGAAAGTTTTCTCACATCACATCTACTCTACTACCTTTGTCTCTTGTTAGAGATCCATCAATGTTTTGGTAATGTGCCTTTTTTATCCCCTGCTAACAAGAAATACTAATTAATAATTAAAATTAATTTATATAAATAATCAATACCAATGTGTTGTATAACCACGAATGGGATGACTGTTAGTATTCAGTTCACTGAAACTAAAATAGAAAATTTATCACAGTGATTTTAAATAGTTTAATTTATCATTTTATTTTAATGAAAATTATGTTTTAATTTATCTTTTAGACTTTGTAAAGCAATGGATATTGTGCCGTGTCTGAATTGATTCTTTGTAACACCTAAATAAAATTAGTCCGTATTTTAATAATTATTCAATTAAAGAACATAGACAATGTTAATGAATCTATCAACTTTAATAAACAAGAAACAGGAAGTGTTTGTTTAATTTTAAAGAGTACTTGTCACATTTTTTACTGTGTGTGATAAAATAACTCTCAAAAATAGTGTTTTCAAACATGACTCAAACCAAATTTTCTATCGATGCTACAAATAGTTGAGACTCAATATTACTTATGGAAACCTTTGGCATTACATAAAAACCTTAATAAAAAAATTCATTTGCCAGATCAGTTAAGCCTCTAAAGAGGAGAGCCATTTAAATATATATACAAAAGGATATGTTATGTGCTTTTACAATTTGATGCTTCCCTTTTTTTTTTTTCACTTACCATATTTCTTTTCTATGCAATTAAGGCAATAAACTAATAATTGCCACTTTTTTTTCTCGACCGAGGCATTAATGATAACTCGATAGAAACTTTTTAACTAAATGATATATTGATTGGAGCAAAAGTTTTGGTAAAAAATTAGAACAATAGAGAGAAGAGATAAAAAGGATAGTAATATAATAAAAAATTATAGAGGGCTATAGTCAAGTTATCTATGGGATGTAAATAGTAAATTAAAAACTAACAAGAGAAGCTAGTTATTCATATCTTTTAGGTCCCATTTGGTATGATTGAATAGTTTTTGATGAAATTGGAATTGGAATTGGAATCAGAATTGAAATAGAATTAAATTATAAAAATATGTTGGTATGTCAGAAAAATTAGATGGAATCCTTGCATTACTTTTATTTGGTATGCAAGAGATGGAAATGGAATTATACTTAAAAGACAAAAATACTCCTATATAAAATTTAAAATAAAACATAATAAAAACTTAATTGTGTACCAGTAAAAACATTTAATAAAGGTAGCAAGAAATACAAGAAAATCAAAAGTTTCCCTTCCTAAATAATAAAAAATCCAGTAAAATATTTTACAAAAAATATTATAAATATATAAATTATATACAAATATTATATATAATACTATCTTATATATATATTATAATTTTTTATATATAATGAGCAAAAATATCAGGAACCAGGAGTGAGGTGAGGGTTTTATATTTTTTGAGGGCAAATTTGTCTTTCTGAAATTTGTAAGAGGGCAAAAGTGTCTTAAATGTTACAATTTTATAGAATTACTCCCAATTCCATAGCTTCAAATAAGAAATTCAATTCAGCCTCTTTTCATGGAATCAAGATTCTCAAGAATTGTAATTCATATCTACCAAACATCACTTTATTCAGATTCTTATCCCAATTTCATTTCTATCTTCACAATTTCAATCTACCAAACATGACCTTATATATTTATATATAGTTTCCATGTCTTAGCATAAAGGGGACACGGCTTTATTTGTCTGGGCCTGAAATTCTCATGTTTGGATCTACGCTTAGTAATTAATTGGGCTCATATTGAGGATTGGGCCTTGATATTTTGGTAGACCGCAGAAACAGTTTATTTCGGTCATGTCTTCTTTTTATTGTCTATATATTTATTTCTTTTGTATAATTTCTTTGATACCTGTGTGCATAAAATTTCATTATTTTTTATTAATTTTGAATTTTTATTTTAAGTTGTTGTTATTCACGGGTGAGCAAGACTGTGATTAGCTTTTGATTTAATTAATGTTTCAGTCCATTGTGAGAAGTTCTTATTAAACAATATCTCTTGAAAATTGAAATAATCCCTACATTTATTTTATTATAATATGAATATGAATAAAGAATCATAGATAGCACAGTACCTAGACATGGAGGATCATAAATAAATGTACATTTCACTAATTTCGATCTCTCCTTAATCATTTCCAAGTGTTATAATGTAATCATCAAACTCATTATTTTCGGATTTTGTAATATTTAAAATAATTTAATTTAATTAGAAAAGCTGATATTAACAGTTTAAAAAACTAGTAAGAATATTATCAAGGCTTTGAGGAGACAATTATTTGCAAACAAGAACTAATATAAAATAAAATGTTATTAAAATGAAAACATAAATTTATTAGTATTAATTTTTGTTTGTGAATAATTTTTTTTTCAGTTCCTTTAATGTAATTCTTTAAAAAAAACCATGTATAAAAATTACATTTTAAGGTAATAATATGTTTTTGGCAAAAAAAAAAAGTCATAATATTTTTTGGCATTTTTTTAAACCTAAAATCCTTTACCGGTTTCATCGTCCTTCCCCAACTCTCGATTTGCCCAGCATCGCACACATGCTTCCAGAAACACTCATCAGTTCACGCGCTCGAATCCTCACGAGGAACGCCGATCAATAATCGTATAGAGAGAACATACGAGACGATCCGGCGCTGCCTTCTCGCCGTCTTCAACTTCTTGCAAGCCGTCCGTTGCAGCTGGTCGAGTTGGACCTCTCGGCGGTGAGCTACAGAGGTAATTTTCAGAATCTGTCTCTCCCATTCCAGAAACCTTACTTCCTTTTAAATTCCTGGCCAGGCGTGTTGGTATTAGCATGTCTTTTCTGTTAAATGTGTGGAATATACTCCCCCGGCTTTAATTCCTGAGTCTAGGTGTTAATATGCTGGCTGGCTTCCATGTTTGGAGGGAACATCAGCTTCCTATTTTAGTTCTTAAACCATTAGTGGTGGTATTATTCCAGTCGTATGGCTTATGTCCTTGGCGTGCTGCGAATATGAGCTTCTTATTTTGTCCCATATACGGTTGATTTTGAGTGATTTCTGTTTTAGTATTCTGAATTTGATTGGAACTAGTTGAATAACTTTTTTTTTTTTCAATAAGAAACTGGAACTCATTCATTCAAGAACGTAGAGCAAAGTATAGCATGTACAAAAACCTAATAATGAACCTGGAAAAAACAAACGCCAATGGACCACCCAAATCAAGTGATAGGTGGTTGGTTACTTGTTGAATAACTTGGCAATGCCATAGACAATCCTTCGGTGTTCAACCTTTATCGAACAAAAGAGAAAAGAAAGGAGAAGAAAGTGCTGATGCAAGGGCGTATTTCGACTGAAAAGGTTTAGAAGATGCAGCTTTGCTGTACTCTTCCTGCATCTGTTAGGGTTTCAAAGAGTTGCAATTTGCCTTCATTTCTTTTCAGTTACCAGTGACTGTGCATGGGAGCCCAAGGTATCTCGGTTCTTAAATCTATACTTCAGTGTTTTCGCATATATTTGACTGCACTCAACGTGCATAGTACATCTCTGAAACTAGGAATAAAAGTTGATCATGGTATCAATTTATGCGGTACAAATGTACAATTTATTTTCCCCCCATTATGCAGTTTATTTTTTCTTAAATTTGTTTAGATTTTAGTATTATGCATTAAACTAGTTTGATAGGATGTCTTGTGCTTTTATTTTATCATAAGATAGTGTTTCATGCCTTTGTTTAGGCTGTGCTTTGACATCATGGCATGATGCTCCATAGCTGATCTACAAAAGGCTTGAGAAGAGGTTTTTTTTTTTTTTTTTTTTGTTTTTTGTTGGGGTTTGGGATTCCTTGGCATAGATGCCTGGCCTTGGGTTTCATGGTCCTCTTGTTGAATATGATACTTTAAGAAAATGGAAAATTTTGATTTAAGAATAGACAATGCTCCATATGAAACCAATTTACCAATCATATAAAATATTCCTTAGCATTGTTAAGCAAAGTGATAGTTACCCAGCAATATTTGCATGCATGAATTTCTCCTCTACTCAAATAAAACTGAGTAGATGCGTTTTACTCATGCTTCTGTCTTTTCAATGAAAGTCCAATTTCACTTTTCTTTGAAAGCCAAATTTCACTGAAGTTACATTTTCACTTACTGATCTTCAAGCTGTTCAAAAAGACAGTTGAGACAAGCAAAACTAATTCCGAGATATGGTGTTGCAATATCATCTTGTATTGTTAGAGCATTTTGTACTTAATTATTTTACTGAGCTAAAAGCTGAGAGTAGGGTGAATTAATACTTTGTTGTCTACTCAAATATGATATTTATGTTGCAGGAACTACATAATTGAATCTTGTGCATGACCTTACTGTGCAATGGCTGATTCATCTGACTCGTCATTTTTTGATCGTATGATCAGTCAACTTCGGACAACATGCAAGTATGACCTCCCATATCTGATGCTTAATTAAAACTGTGCTCAATGCACCTGCCAATGTCTCTTTGTTGTAAAGTTGTCTCACTTGACTGTCTGCCTTTCATTAATTTCACTGCTATAGAATGTTTTCTGTCTCTAATAAGGTACCAACATACTAATTCTCTTGAACCCCCACCCCCCAATGTTTCCCTTTTCTATTTTGTTGAAAGCCTCAAGTTTCTCTTTCATTTGATGAAAATTTTCTTGTGGTGATTGTAGGTATTATACTGGCTATCCAAAGGATCTTGGACCATCAAGGGTTGTTCATTTTACCTCAGAGCGTGAGTTTGTCCAGCTCCTTCATGAAGGTTATCCTGTTGTTGTTGCATTTACTATAAGGTAGAGTTAGCCGTGAACTTTTTGTTGTTTCAAACTAACTTCTTGTTGACTTTAGGTCCAAAATTGAGGACAAAATGAGAAAAAACGAAAAATATTTTGGAATAACTAAAAGCTAATTATTATAATGCAGGGGCAACTATACGAAACATCTTGACAAAGTATTGGAAGAAGCTGCTGCCGAGTTTTATCCAGATATTAAATTTATGCGTGTAAGTTGTTATTGGTCAATTGTTAGTGTTGAAACTTGATGACATAACACTTTATAAAGCATATTATTCACTTCTCTATTGATGGAAACACAAAAACATATAGATGACGCATTGACGTACTGATTAGCTTCCTTTTAGTTGTTATTTTACTTTCAAGGAGTGTAGTCTTTGTCAAATCACCCTCTCTCTTTTGCCTACTGGGTTTTGATTCTTATTTTCTAGGGTTTTTGCCGGCAGAATCCTTCTTCCCATTTACTATACTTTTCTGCATAGTCTAGATTTTTACCATGCATTGATGAAATGATTATGTCCTACTATTTTCCAGGTTGAGTGTCCAAAATATCCTGGATTTTGCATAACACGGCAGAGAAAGGAGTATCCATTTATTGAAATATTTCACAGCCCACAACAAGTATGGTACACCTCACCTTGTTCACTACAATCTTACTGCTGTGTCTCGAAGTCTCATGAGAAGAGATTGTAATGGTCTAATGGATCCATTCCATGACTCGATCAACCAGAAAGCATGTTCTGCTGCTATCATATCTTCTTTTAATAGGCTAATCTTTGAAGTGATTACTTGTCCATTAAAACTCTTATTGACTTAGTTTTTCTATACAGGCAGCTGGCCAGGGAAGGATGGCTGATCCAAATGTCACGAAATACAACGTGAAGGTCTTGCCTGTAAGTTTTCAGCTTGTTTATAAATCAATTCTGTTATTGACTCTTCATAATATCCAAATTAGGTCTTCTACATTCAGATAGCTATGCATTTGGATGCAAAAAGGGCAGTATAAAAGAATGTGATTATGTATGGGGTTCTCATTTATAATCTACTCCCTCCATTCCACATTGATACTTTTGAAGGAGATTCGGCATTTCAAAATATTAGATACTTTAACAAAAATAAGGTTTCATTAATAATGCTTTTTCAATTTTGCCCTTCCCATTATATTTTCTATTTAATATTCCTTCATACATGAAATATTAAATGAAGAGCATTTTTGAAAGTTTATATTTTTGTTTTGAAAAAAATAAAGTTGTAAAGTATATTTAATGAGTTTTATTGATATGTGTGATTTTATTTGAAAGTGTTTTATAATTTGGAATGGGAGAGTATATTGTTTTAATCTTTCTTCACATCCACTATATGCATTTAGTATTGTGAATGTAGAAGATCTAATTGCAAGTGCCTGCATGAAATAACCGAATGAAAGTTTGTTATATTTATCTACAGCTGTAGAATACTGATGAGCTTCACAAAAATTTCATTTATCTATGGGTGTGCAGTTTAACTACGATCTCAGTGCTTATGGATTTAGAGAATTTTTTAAGCGTCATGGAATACAGGCATCAAACCCCAAGTAAAAATACTGCAAAATGTTTGAATGTAACCCAACCATTAATTATTAATTAATGGAATAATATGTGCATACTTGCATGCGCTGTGTTTGGTCCTATAAAGGATTTGTCTGCTTAATTTTTTTTTAAATTGCAGTTTGCAGTTTAAATTTAACTGTTTTGAGGAAGTAAACATGCAAATGGAAAAAGTTATGCTGGATAATTTTTTCCTGATTATCAAAATCGTTGATGGTTCCTACTCAGAAGAAGCATGTTGCAATGTAAATGTTACTTTTAAATTTGGTTTTTGTTTGGAATGATATTGAATTCAATACATGTTTTAAGAAACTAAAAGGGTTACCTGTCCTCACTTAGCTCCAGCTCCAAGTTTGCCCAACAACAATGAAGATGACAATTTTTTTAAAACATTGTAGATTAAATAATAAAACAAGAACATGGTCTTCTATCCAAAAAATAAAACTAAAAACAAAACAAAAAACATGGTCCTAACCCGGAAACTTGATTGAGACTCTCGCCTGTATTACGTCGTTTATGATTTTTTAAATATTATGATTTATTATTGATTTTATTTTATATTTGGTTATTTGTTCATGATTTAATATTGTAATAGTAGTTTAATTAACCATAAGATTCGAATCATCCAAATCTCACGTAATAATGGAGATATACCAGGTAGAGAGGAACTGGGAAAAAAAGTTAATTTATGTTGTTTCACGTTGAAAATGATCAAAATCATGATTTTAGTGGAACGTGAAACTCGACGCAGTTTTGATGGATGCGGGAGATGATGCATTTCAATTTTGGAGTTGTCAAGTATAGCTCCCTAACTCTATCAATGTATTAATGGGTAATTAATTTGGTAAGTTAAGCATAAGGGTTAAGTGCCATGAACGTAAGGGAAGGGGAAGAAAAACCAGTTGACACTTGGCAGCAACCTGTACTGTGAATTCCGTGACCAAAACATGAAAGTAGAATGCTTTCCATGAACAGGCAAGAATGTGATGCAGAAATTAATGTTTTTAAGGTTTTGTTGAAGTTCATTTGATGGTGTTGAAAGAGACCATTCAGAATATGAAGATCATGTTGGTGTGCGATCTTATCATGATAATCCTCTAGGATCTCACTTTGAATACATATATTTTATATATTTGAATTGTCTTTTATGTCCCTAAATTAAAAATAAAAGTATTAAGAGACAAAATACTGTTTAGTGATGATAAAAAGAATATAATAAATGTTCCATCTGTTCATATTATAAGATTTTTTTTTTCAAAAAAAATTCATGTTTTAAGATGTAAGTATTTTACTAAATTTTAAAGGAAATTTGGGGTTGTTTGGTTTTTGCGTTCAATTTTTATTTTTAAAAACTGTTTTGTATTATAACTTTTAAAATTGTTTTTAAAACAAAATAAAAAAACTTTGTTTGGTTATATCAATTAAAAAATAATTTTGGAATTAAAAAATAAACTGATAGTGATAATTATAGGTAGTTAATGATAGTTATTAATAATAATAATTGATTAAGGCAACTATAATTTTCAATAATAAAATATATTGTATTTTAAAAATGAAAAAAATAAAACAAAACAACTTAAAGTTGTTTCTATTTTTTATTTTTAAAAATAAACAATAAAAATAATTTTAAAAATAATTAAATAAAAAATACTTATGCCAACAAGTTTTAAAGTGTTTTTATGTTTTCAAAAGCAAAAAAAAAATTAAAAAATAGGAAACAAACAAGCTCTAGTTTTTCACATTCTCTCTTGTTTTTCAAAACAATTATCTCAAAATACTTAAAAGATTTTTTTTTTATTTTGTATAAAAATATTTTCTGTTTTGTTTTTCAAATATTTTTTAAAAACATGTTACTAAATATATTTTTTGTTATTTTTTTTGGAGGATAGAAAACTATTTCTAAAATAGATTGCCAAAGATGCCTTAGATTCTTGAATTTATATGGTTAGATACTTTGTTACTATCAATTTGGATGAGTGGATTTTTATTCATTATTTAGCTTTCATCATTACTTATAAATTTAAATACCCAAGCCTGAAGAACAAAACTTGGATACTCATTGAATATTAAATTGAAATAGAATAAAATTTAAAATCAAATTAAGTGATCAAGTTAAGATCAAATAAATTTAAGGCACAAAATTACATTAAGTGAATAAATTAAGATTAAATGAAATCAAGGGGGTTAAAGCAAAACATGCGTGAGGTAACATAAAATAAAAAGTTATTTTTGCTTTTTATTAAGAAATTGACAACTTGTCATGCTGATACTTTCGAAATAATAAGAATTTTTTTTGTGATAAAAATAAAAAAGTGAAATGATACTTTTTAGTTTAGAGTTGATCAACATTCTAAATTTTAAATTATTGTATGAATAATATTATAAATTTTAAATTTTTAAAATGTGTAAATTTTTTTTTTAATTTTTAAATTTTGATCATTTAAAAACTTGCCATTAATTTTTAAAAATAATTATTATTTTTGAAGATGCGTGACATAGTCGCATATATTGTGGCACGACTTTTGAAAATAATAGTTATTTTTTTAACTTAATAGTAAATTTTTGGATGCACAGTTAAAAAATTAAGAATTTAAAATCTTATTTGTACAGTAGTTTAAAATCTAAAATACTGATTAACTCTTTAATTTGTCTTAAAAGAAGTTCTATCTTTTGAATATATGGCCGACAAGGGAGAAATGGAAAAGACATTTTCATTCCTCCTACTTTTGAATAGAAAATGCGGATATTCCTTCGATTTGTTTTCTTATTAAGAAAATGATTCTTTTGTCAATAAGTGGACCTAGCATGACTGTCCATCATCCAGTTCCTTAAATTGAGCAAAAAAATAAAATAAAAAATTCACCTCAATTAATATTTAAAACTCGACAGGTTAAATGACTTGATTTGGGTTATATTTTCTTAAAAAAAAATAACTTTGTATCTCTATATTCTATACTTTATTTAAATTTTATTATAGATTCTTATACTTTTTTGTATGATCTAAATCCTCATCCTTTGGTTTTTTAGGATTTTAGGTCCTTATAAAACTGTTCATGGAGGGACATAGAATGCTAAAAAATTTAGGAATATAAATCACTAAAAAATAAAAATGTAAAGATTTATGATATTGAAAAAAGTATAAAAATTTATATAAAAATTTAAATGGAGTGCAAAAACCTAAAGTTATATTTTTTTAAAAATTTTAGTATTTTCCATTTTTCTTTTCATTTTTGAGACGTGAATTCTAAATCAAATCTAGATTTTTTTTACTTTCTTCAAGTCAAAATATAAACAGTTTTAAAAAAAAATTTACAAATCAATAAAGTCTATATTTTCATAAAAATATATAGTATTGTTTTACCTTTTTACCTATACTCACAATTATCAAGGCATTTCATGATAAGTGAAAAATAAATTTATACAAAAATTTAAGTTAATAAGTATAAGGGATAAAGTGAATTTTTTTTATGTTTTAAGTTGTTTATATTTTAAACCATGGAATAAGATAATTTAAGAAAAATAATATTTTATTGATGAGACTTTTTAAATATGTACCTTTCAAGTATAAAGAGATTTGAAATGATATTGTAGTGTGCTTTTTTGATTCTGTATATTAGGCATCTTTTAGAAACACAATTTGATTTATTTTATAAATTACTAATTGATAGGATTGTTTTATTGTAAATTGAAATCTCCAAACTATCCTTAAGAAGTGAGACAAAGAGATAAAATACTATTATATGGCTTGTTTACTTTTTACTTTTTCTTTAAATGTTATGTTTGAAATTTCACTTACTTTTATTCCTTATAATTTTATTACATTAATTTTAATAATGTTGGTAAAATGACTTACTCCATCCATTTAAAAATATAAGATATTTTTAATCAAATTTCATCTCTCAATAAAGTAATTACCTACTTTTAAATTGATCCTGTCTTTTCATATTTACTCCTATTAAACACTCTATAATAAATATAAAGTCATTATTAATAAGAGTATTTTTAGAAAAAAAAAGAGACAATAATTATATCTTGAAAGACTAAAATTTTTTTACATTTTTAAACATCTAACTCCTCAAAAAATATTTTATATTTTTAAACGGAGGAAGTATAATTTATAAAAAAGACTGGGGGAGTAATGATTGAGTGCATGAGGATATTTTTTGAAAGTTTATAACTTTGTTTTGAAAAATTAAATTTTTAAAATATCATTATTATATTTTATTGATATGTATAGTTTTATTTTATTTTATAATTTGAAATAGGAGGATTGCTATTTAGACCATTTATATATATAATATAGAGAAAATTAATCTTTTAGTCCTTTAACTTGTAAGTCACTTGTAATTTAGTTTCTCAATTATGATTCTCTGTGACTCTGTCCCTCAACTATAATTTGCCTATAACTCAATCCTTTAACTTTTGAATTACTTACAAATTAGTCTATTATCCTTTATTAATTTTTTTTCATTTTAGCTTATATCTCACATTAATGAATAAAAAGAGGGTATTTTAAAATAATATATGAGCATTTTTTTATCTCTCTTATTTAATAAAATTTTTTTTAAAAAATTAAAAAATAAGGACTGAGTTATAAGTAAATCAAAAGTTGAGAGACTGAATCACAGCGAGTCATAATTGAAGGATTGAGTTATAAGTGAGTTAAAAGTTGAAGGACTAAAAGATTAATTTTTTTTATAATATATATATTTTCCTTCAAAAGTTCGTGCCCATTCACTGATCCTTGTGCTTTCGGCTTAAGTAATTAAAACGAAAGAGTGCATTCCATTTTTGTCAAGCCCATTCATAAAAAAGTTAATTGAAGATAAAGAGCACAATTCACAGTTTCTGTTTTTGAAAGAGACAAATTATGACGTGGAGCACTTGCTTTGTTCCTATCTTCTCCATTTGTATTTATGCAATTAAGATTACTTTCAAATTCTTTACTCCAGAAATATTAGTTAACTTTTAACATGTTTTACTGAAATTAATTTTATTTAAAAAATTAATAAATTTTTAACTTTACTTCTTAAAATAAAATATTATAATATTCAATAATCTTCTTAACATTTAATAGAGGCAAAAAAGAAAAATGAATATAAAAATTATAGAGGTATCATACAAATAAGATTAAAATAAATATTTTTTTTCTTTATCTTATAAATATAACTAGATGATTAGGTTAAAGGAAAACTTTGCATTGACCAGGTTGGTTCCCAGAAAAGAAAGAAAG